GATCACCAAGCTTGCTGGTCCCTCCAAGATTGCACTTCTTGGACTCCTTCTCCTTAGCACGACCGTCCGCGCAATCGCCGCTACCAACCGCTCCACCTTTGGTGCTGACACTTGCTGCCACTTGCCTCTCCTTAGGCATTGGGACCACAGGGATCTGCCACATCTCGTTGTAGACATCTCTGTCCTCATGAAGGTCCCAAAGAATCCGATCGCCAAGCCTTGCGGTGTAGGTCTTGGCTCCCTTTGAGTTCGTGTCCATGCCGGCCTTTGCCAACCGCCGCACGGAAATCAGGTTGGCAGCAAGGCTGGGCACACAAAGCACATTCTTGAGGCCCACCATCTTCCCATCAGCACCCTTAAACATGGCCTTGCCCATGCCTTTCACCTCCGCTCGCTGCCCCAAAGCTGATGTGACATGCTTCACCGGTGACGGTTCGAGTTTGGTGAGCAAGTCCGGGCGAGGTGTCATGCTATAGGTAGCGCCACTATCGATCACCCAATAGTCCAGAGGGTGTAGAGTCACCTTCCCCACAGCTGCTGGCTCCTCAAAGCCTTCATCCTTCTCTGGACCAGTCGGTACTTGCGTCGACACGAAGTAGAATAGACCCGGGTACCGATCGTTGCTCGGGTCCTTGTCGTTGTCTCCGCTCTTCATGTTTGCAGCTCCGCCACCGCGACCGCCACGGCCTCCACGGCCTCTTCCTCTCCCTCCTCCTGCTCCTCTACCCTCTTGGCCTTGAGCAGGGGTCCAACCATCAGGGAGTTTGTAGCAGTCGCGCCACATGTGTCCGCTCTTGTGGCAATAGTGACACTCGCCGTCGAATCGGCGGCGACCGCGTCCGTAGCTCTTGTTGTCGCTGCCGTAACCGCCACTCCCGCGGCCTCCGCCGAAGTTGCTGCCACCAAACCTTCCTCCCCCTCGTCCTCTACCTCTTCCTCGACCATATCCACGGCCGATGCTTGCTGCCCCAGCGCCATCCGCACTCACCAACTCACGGCGGTGGAAATCCTCTTGAAGGATAGCTCGCTTCACGTCTTCAAGCGAGAGGCGGGGCAAGTCGCGATTAAGGTTGATGATGAGCGAGGACCATGACTCAAGGAGTAGGGCCAGCAACTTGGTCTTTTTTTGGAGCCCACTATAGTTCAAATCAGCTCCCTCAAGCCGCGTCAACAAGTCGAAGAATTTCTGCACCCCTTCTTCAACCACTTCATCCTCTTCAATTCGTAGTGTCGCCATTTGCCGTTCCAACACCACAGCTACCGCCGCTGTTGCAGGAGCGTGTACACCCTTGAGAGCAGCCCATGCCTTTGGTCCCTTCTCTGGTTCACGCTGGAAAGGCTTGATGTGACGGATTTGGCTGCTCCCCAACGCTTGCCCAAGTAGGAGGTAGCCTTGTGGCTCTTCTCCGGGTCGTTCTCGGGACGCTTCTCCGTTCCTTCCATTACCTCCAGCAGGTCATAGTGGTCAAATATGTTCTCCATTCTGAAGGACCACTCAGCAAAGTTGTCACCATTGAACTTGTCAAGGCCAAACACTCTAGGCTCATCCCTAGATGGGCCAACACTTGGTTGCACAGGCGCCATGGCTGAATCACGGGGTTGGCCTTGAGCTTGGGCTTCTCCTCTGCCACCAGCACCTCTGCCACCCCTTTCCTCAGGTCCAGCCTCTGTCAAAACCGCTCCAAGGGGCTCTGATACCACTTTTATAGTCACAATAGGCTCCAATGTGCCTAAAACGAAAGATAGTGTGCACAGCCGGATTTCTGCACAACGGCTTCAAACGTTCATAGCGTTCTGGTCACAACTTTGAATGACCTGATTCAACTTGGATCTGGAGCGTCTTATTCTCGCCTACAATAGGCAATTTAGATCGCACAATTTCACCAAGTATTGACGACACAGTGTCGGTTTGAACGAACGGCACTATGGCAGCCACTATAGTCTTAGAACACAAAATAGGAAGAGATATGAAGAGTTACGAGTTGGGAATGACTCCCAGCTCCTACAAACCCCAAGAGCCGAGGTACAGTGATGTGGAACAGTGCCACACTGTCCCCAACCACGAAGGGTCTCGAAACTACCCTTCACTAGGGCCTACACCAAGTGAAATGTTACACTACACAAAGTAATGTAACTATCTTCAATATCTTGAGGTGTACCCTTTTGGCGAGCTTCGAAATCACTTGAGGCTTGACACCAAGGCTCGGGCTCTTCATCACAAACTCATCCTTGAGTTCTTGATGGGTCTGCTGCACACACCTGCGACACGCGGAACGTTCGACACAGGACAAAATAGAAACCGCGCACGACAAAAATAGAAACCGCGCGCGAGACACAAACGACCGCGTAACACGCGTCTAGCGATAACTCGCTATTGACTCGACACACACACTCGACATCATGACTCAACATTCACACACAATTATAAGCATGAAATATATATTATCCCATGCCCTCATACCATTCCATACACACACACATGCACGCACACGGACAACAAGCCGAGTGCAAACCGTAGGGTTGCACCAGCACCCCTCTCATCCCCTCTCGCACACTATCGTTCCCTCTCATCCCCTCTCATTCACGTTGATCCCCTTTCATCCCCTCTTATCCCCTCTCATCCCCTCTCATTCTCTCTCATCTCGTTTCCTACACTCTCATACACTCTCATCCCCTCTCATCCCCTCTCATCCCCTCTCACACACTCTCATCCACTCTCATCCTCTTTCATCCACTCTTGTTCCCCCTCACACACTCTCATTCCCTCTCATCCCCCCTCATCCCCTCTCACACACTCTCATTCCCTGTCATACACTCTCATCCCCTCTCTTCCACTCTCATTCCCCCCCATCCCCTCTCCTACACTCTAACCCACTCTCATACACTCTCATCCCCTCTCATCACCTCTCTGGTCCTGATTCCCCGTTCCTATCATCCCCTCTCATTCCCCGTTATCTTCCTATGCTCATTATCCATCAGACCTCGTGGCACTTGTGATCAGCGTCATGTCTCACCCACTGCAAGCCAGGTGAGGTCTGGCCTATGAATTTAGGGTTGGCCTTCGCAGATCCTCGTGGTTTACTGTGCGTGGGTTCGTACACTCCATTGTAATGCCAATTTTCACTCACAAATTGCAATGTTGTGATGTTGCTTGATCTCTATTTCATTTGGTGCACTAGTTATGTCGCTGTGCAGGACTTTGACGTATGCAACATATTCAAGGGGAAAGTTTATCCGTCAGCTGCAGAAGCGAGGGAGGATGTTCGGTTGTATTGTCGGCAGAATATGATTAGGGAGTTCTACTATTATAGTCACAAAGAACTTATCGAGGTACGGTGCAACTCGATGAAGAATTTGAGTTGGGTTGGTGGAGAGGTGAGCAGCAAAGATGAGTTATGTCCCTTCCGCATTGTCATACAAGGGTCCAAAAACATAACCATGAAGGTCTCGCTAGCTAGCTTGAGGCATGCCGACCTATGTACATCTGGTGCTAGGAGTGTTAGGAAGATAGCTGTCGGAATGTGTACAAGGGAGACGGCAAATCACCATGACGATGACGGACCCACCAAGAGTGCCAGATATATCGGTGGACGGGCGCGGGTTGAGGACTGCGAAGGACATGGCTGCAAGACACATACTATGCTGGTTGTAGGAGATGGGATGGCGGAAGGAGAAGAGATGAGAGGAGCTTACCTTGTTCATACACCTATGAATGTTACCTAAGGTGACGGTTAGAGGGTGGGTAAATTGGTGTTGGTGGTAATTAGTGGTAGGTGAGACGGCGCCTGTCGATGAGGTACATGGACGATAAGCGTGGTGTTGAGATATTTCCTTGTCAGTTTGGACGGTTTAATGCTGGACATAACAAGAGGGCCACCACTACCACTATGAATAGCAGTTGGTATTGCAGTCATATATAATCATCATCTGGTTTACGAATTCGTGATCAACAAGTTGGTGAGAGTGGACTATTTGCACAAGAGTGCCACACATTTGCCACTCACAGCATTAATGTGTACATGCCAGTCCTCTTCATTGCCCATGACTATCATATGCAAATGCAATACGTTTGCGATCATCTGCGAGCATGTTTCCTAGTAGAAGTGTGGCTGGCTTCTCCGTGGGACACAAAGCTGATCAGACCATAAAAAACATGATAGAATCAAGGCGTTGTATGTTATTTTAATACAATCACCACTGCATACTGTCGTGCGGGTTCTGAAACATTTGTATCAAACACCAACTCTGCTTTCAGCTATCGCATATGTGCAATACTGCACCGTCCAAAACCATGTGACATACTGTACATACACAATTTGACACATTTACCGTATGTACCATCTAAACCCCTGCAGGGATGGAAGGGAAGTCATGTAGCATCACGCAACCGCCCCACGACCTTCATCGGCCCACAACAAGGTGTCCTTGTTTAGGAGGAAACCGAACAACACTTGTGTTTGAGATAAATATGGCAAGTAAAAATTTTGCACACCGAACAACACAAACAATAGAATGATGCAACTAGAAGATGTTAAACATTTGATACTACCTATTTTAAATGTTAAATATAGGCACCATACACTGACATTGGAGTATTTTGATACCCAAAGACCCCACCATTCGTGACGTTGCAGAGACAATGTGGGAAATAAAAGAAAAGGACATGTTATCAAACCAGGTGCAGAGCGCTCAAGAAGTCAATCATGTATCCATGAATAATAACATGCATAGCCCACACGTTCTACTGCAAAGAGCTGTTGCTGTTCTCGTATCCCTGTTGGCACGACGACCTGTTGTGCATACCAGACGCCGACCCCTCGACCTCCCGTTGCAATGGCATGCCCACATGGCTCCAACGTTGCTCCAGACCTGCAACATTCCCATGCATTGGCATTCCCATGCGTCCCCATCGTTGGTTAAGGGCTTGAACGTACCCAAATTGCCCTTGTAACGCATCCTGGGACCCAAGTTGGCCTCTCGTATCCTGCTGCCCTCCCATCCTATGCTGCCCTCCCAACCCCTGCTGCCCTACCAACCCCTGCTGCCCTCCCAACCCCTGCTACCCTCCCAACCCCGCCTGTCCGCCGCTCCCCTGCTGCCCTGTCATCCCATGCTGCCTTGCCATCCCCTGCTGCCCTCCCAGCCCCTGCTGCCCCCCCAACCCCTGCTGCCCTCCCATCCCCTGCTGCCCTCCCAACCCCTTCTCCCTTGTCATCCCATGCTGCCCTGTCATCCCATGCTGCCCTCCCAACCCCTGCTGCCCCCCCAACCCCTGCTGCCCTCCCATTCCCTGCTGCCCTCCCAACCCCTGCTCCCCTGTCGTCCCATGCTGCCTTGCCATCCCCTGCTGCCCTCCCAACCCCTGCTGCCCCCCCCAACCCCTGCTGCCCTCCCATCCCTTGCTGCCCTCCCAACCCCTGCTCCCCTGTCATCCCATGCTGCCTTGCCATCCCCTGCTGCCCTCCCATCCCCTGCTGCCTTCCCAACCCCTGCTGCCCTCCCAACCCCTGCTGCCCTCCCAACCCCCGCTGCCCTCCCAACCCCCGCTGCCCTCCCAACCCCCGCTGCCCTCCCAACCCCTGCTGCCCTCCCAACCCCTGCTGCCCTCCCAACCCCTGCTGCCCTCCCAACCCCTGCTGCCCTCCCAACCCCTGCTGCCCTCCCATCCTCTGCTGCCCTCCCAACCCCGCCTGTCCGCTGCTCCCCTGCTGCCCTGTCATCCCATGCTGCCTTGCCATCCCCTGCTGCCCTCCCATCCGCTGCCGCCCTCCCAACCCTGCCTGTCCGCCGCTCCCCTGCTGCCAGGCCATCCCCTGCTGCCTTGCCATCCCCTGCTGCCTTGCCATCCCCTGCTGCCTTGCCATCCCCTGCTGCCTTGCCATCCCCTGCTGCCCTCGCAACCCCGGGTGTCCTCCCATCCCCTGCTGCCCTCTCAACCCCTGCTGACCTTCCATCCCTTCCAATCCGCTCCCACCATTTTGTTCCAACCGTTCAGCTCCTCCCTGCTGTTCCGTGGTAGACCGAGATCCATATCTACCTCTGCCTCTCCCTCTCCCTCTTCCCCGTTCTCCTTGGCTTGCATTGCGTCCCCTGCCTCTGCCCCTACCTTCAGTTGTTGCACGTTCCTCTCCTGCCTGTCTTGCCACATCACGCTGCAGGAGTAATCCCTGCATCCGCCGTATACGCCCTGCAACCACGTCCTCCGCAATCCTCAACCCTTCCACCCGCTCGGCCACCGAAGTATCCGACAGTCGTCCCGCCTGAATCTCTTGGGTGATGTCTATCTGTGTCCCCGCCGAATTATCTGTTTGAGTGGGCAAGTCTGAGTTCGTGGTTGTGCGTTCACCAAGACCAACATCACCGGCAGTTCCGGGATCCCTACCAAACACCTCGACCAGCGCCCCACCATATGTCACGGCATCACGATCATCCCGTCCCTCCTCATCCACTTCACCAATCACTTCAACCAAACCGACACTCCCATCATCCTCGCTGCATGGCTCCTCCTCCACATCACCTGGCTGTCCTTGTTTACGCATGGCTTGGCACCTAGTCCCTCTGCGGTGTGTTCGGCTGCAAGCGTTGCACGGGGCTACATGCACTGCACCATCTGCGTCCGTCATTGTTTGCACTGACAATTGCCTTGCGGGGGTTTGTAAAGCTTCCCACAACACTCTGTTGGCTGCACGGACCTCGCAAGTTCGGGCATTATGACCGTACTCACCGCACTTTCCACACTTGCGCAACTTGATTGGGTCCATCTCTCCTGTGGACCGCATTCTACGCTTTGGTGGCCGACCGGCCTTCTTCTTGTAGACCGGAGGGAGGGTAACGCCGTCAGGGACCACAGAGGTTGGGTCGAGAAGTCGGATCGGCGTTCTGTACACTTGCTGCAGTGCTGAAGTTGTGTGATATTTTTGGATCACTGCGTGCGCCCTCTGAGCATCATTTTTTAACACGGCGAAGATGTGTACGCATGGCAGCCCGTATTCCCTGTTTTTGGGATAAATAGGCGAAGAGGTAAAAAGGGATTAACGCATGACTGAAACCAGCAAGAATAGCTAAAACCTGCAGGATTTCATCACACACATGAACACATGGCTTAAAGAAGCCCACATTCAGCAAATATGATTACGGCAAGCATATGCACACACGACACTTTGGCGACCTTATGCCCCTGCATGGGCAAGGTGGAGGGATAGGGAAGGTTCTTTGAGTTGTAGGCAACTAGACATTTCAGTTTAAACAGGATATCGCATATCGCCATATTCCCCATGTCGCACGGGGAAGGCTCGTGATAAATGGGACAAATGGGCATTAAGTTAGAGAGGGTATAACGTAGGAGAAAATGGGCATAAGGTTTTAGACAACATGATAATAGCAGTAGGAACGAGGTTACATGGCTCTTAGGCCGCCTCAAATACCACTCATGTTGGGATAAATGGGCAGGAAAGGGGATTTCATAAGTTACGCAGACCTATTATGATAACTGGGGGCTGAAATTTAGAGTGGGTACAATATGAGGGTTGATCTTGCATGGCGTTTGGGAAGCTGATGAACACAATATTCAAGTATACACCAGTGAAACATACGCTAGCTGTGCTAAAAACAGAATCTAAACACCACTTACTTGGTGTAGCCACATGAGCAGCGGGTGTCTGCAGGATCCTCGGGGTTTGTGGTCACGACTCGCCTCTCGTCCCTTTAGCGTACTATGTACTCGTGTTCCCCCGATTCAGCCACCCTGTATCTTTTGCCCTCATCGCGATTCCCAATTACTATTGGCTTTGTCCTGGGAGGGAAGTCAGCAACTATCATCTCGGAGTATAATTGGCGCCTCTCTTCGATCTTCGTCGATAGCTTATCTGCCAAGCCTAGCAGCGGCACCTGCGGCGGACTCTTATCCCGCAATCCCGAAAGCGACGCATGGTGAGACTCAACGGGATTGGAAGACAAGCAGCCGTAACGGGGTGCTCCAAAATAAGCTGTCGCCCACTTACCACACAACCCATTGTCCACAAGGTACGAGGATCCACCGGGACATTCCATCTCAATTTTTTCCATTGTCTTGAGGTACACAAGCTCCGTCAGAGCCGCGGCAGCTGCAAGAATTCGTCCGTCCAGATCTGTCCTGAACTTGTTTTTGAAGTTTCGAACCAAATGGGTGATGCAAAAAGACTCCCGTACAAGGGGGAGACAAATGGATGTGGCGGATATCCATGCCCCTCCCCTATCATGCATCATGACAAAGTCGGAGGAGTTCACCTCCGGAACGGCCTCCAGCAGGAGATTGAATAGGAAGGCGCATGCATGCTTGTTTTCCCCCTCCACCCATGCACATCCCAGCATAACAAGTTTGTGTTGGCTATCCAACATGCATATGTTCAAGGTGTATCCCCCCCATGCGGTCTTATTATGACATCCATCCGCAAAAATGATGGGCAGGCAGTTCATGACCGCATCTCTCGCCCCTAGAAATATAATTCCTGCACGGTAGAAGAGATTTCCCCGCCTGATCATGGACACGACAGATGAGGGGTTTTTATCCTTGAACTTTCATAACAGGTCCTCCATGTATTGAAATCCATCGTCTCCATAAAACGGATCCGCATTCCTCAGCTCAAAGAGCACCTCGCGCGCAACCGTGTACGAGCACTCCACACGTAAAACCGCCCTAACACGACTCATCAGCGCATGAGGTCTCACGTCGCCATGCTTTAGCATCTCACGCGCAACCTCTTTGACTTCATCCCTCCGAATCCTTGCAGCTTCAGTGACACACCTATCGGCGTGATCCAAATCAGCCACCGTGACCCGCAGGCTACTATAGCGCGGTCCCCGCATGACAACACGGAATGGACACATCCCTTCTCCGATGTGCACCTCCCCACGAGGCCATACCTTGCCCTCCATGGACTTGAACCACACCTCAATGAGATTCGACCGATTATAGCGGAAATAGGGAGCAAACGTCTGCTGCCTATAGTACAACCGCACCTCCTCCCTTGCTGCTACAGCAGTTGGGTAGAGCTTCCCCTTGTAAATGTTGACAGCATCATCTTCCTGCACATCAAAATTGCTACAGGACCAAAAGATAACGGATGGAGGGATACCACACGGAAGTTTGCAAGTTATCTTATACAATTCTTGTTTGGAAATGAACGATGGCTGATGTTAACAATGCACTTTAGCTAGTTTGGACAATAAGACCATGCAGATTCAACATGTGTATTCAACCTCAGCCTCTCACCTTGAACGTATGAGGCGAAACATGTTGTTCCTCACGACCGCCTCAAGCTCTGTTGGACAATAAGACCATGCGGATATAAGGTGTAGTATTCTGCATAAGAGAGAATGGAAGGGGGAAAATTGAGAGCCTTTCAAGAGTTAGGGGACAAGAAAGAATGTCACACAGACAAGAGAGTGTATGAGAGCGTATGAGAGGGGATGAGAGGGGATGAGAGGGGATGAGAGGGAAAGAGAGGGAATGAGAGGGAATGAGAGGGAATGAGAGTGAATGAGAGGGGATGAGAGGGAACGGGAGTATGTGTACGGGGATGAGAGGGGATGAGTGTGTATGAGAGGGGATGAGAGTGTATGAGAGGGGCTGAGAAGGGATAAGAGGGGATGAGTGTGAATGATGGAAGTGTATGAGAGTGGATGAGAGCGGATTAGGGGGTATGAGTGTGTATGAGAGGGGATGAGAGTGTTTAAGAGTGTCTGATAGTGCATGAGAGACGATGAGAGGAGTTGAGAGTGTATGAGAGTGGATGAGGAGGATTGAGAGTGTGTAAGAGAGTGTATGAGAGTGTATGAGAGGGGATGAGAGGGGATGAGAGGGGATGACCAGGGATGAGAGTGCACAAGAGTGAAAGGGAGTGTATGAGAGTGTATGAGAGTGTATGGGAGTGTATAAGAGGGGATGAGAGTGCATATGATAGTGTATGAGTGGGTATGAGTGGGTACGAGAGTGTATGAGAGTGTATGAGAGGGAATGAGATGGGATGAGAGGGGATGAGAGGGGATGAGAGTGAATGAGAGTGTATGATAAGGGATGATGAGAGTGTATGAGAGTTTAGGAGAGTGGATGAGAGTGGTTGAAAGTGTATGAGAGTGTATGTGAGGGGATGAGAGTGTATGAGTGTTAGAGACTAAGGACGGAGTCTAGGAAGATTAGGTGCCCAAATTTCTCAAAATCGTTGGTCTCAATTTCTGGACAGAAACGTCGACTTCACAAGAAACGTTGTCGACAAAAGGTGCACTGTTAGAATCCCACGAAATTCAAATATGTTGTAGCCCTAGACCGTGGCTACATTTCCCAATTTGAATCGTATCAAAATATGAAGAATATCTTGAGGTATGCTTTTCGGCGCACTAGGGGGTATGCTGCCACAGAAATTTAACTCAATCACAATTAACTCACAAGTCCCACAAAAGAACATTAGAGTAACACTAAACCTGGTAGGAGGGGAAGAGGAGGACGAGAGGGAAGGTCCCAAGAGAGAGTCCCCAACCAAGGAAACCCCATGCCACACAATTCCCTTCCCCATAGGCAACAAACTTTGACCTTTGTCACTTTCCAACCCATGCCATCCACCTCACCACAACTTGGCCACACTTACCAACCTGGTTTGGCTTCACCCAACCTCTTGGCAGCATCTACAGTGATGGGTTCGAATTTCCCAACCCCCACAAGTCTGTACCCCATATTGAGTCAATGCCACAACTTCCCAAAGTAGCTGCAACCAAAATATATAAGCATACGAACTCCAATGTTCGTAACTTTCTTGGTTGTGCTCCGATCGCGACGATTCATGGTTCGTCGGAAAGCTCTTGAGTAGAGAAATCACTTCAGATATCTGCTCAAGCCAAATAACATACACACACACACACACACACACACAGAAAATCCAAACCACACAAGACACAAATTTCTTGCACACGCTCACACCACGCATGCAACGCACAAACACATGATGGGAGGCAGACAGACGTGAATGCATATGGTTGCATCACACAACAATGAGAGTGTATGAGAGTGAACGAGAGGGGATGTAAAGGGATGAGAGGGGATGAGAGTGTTTAAGAGTGTCTGATAGTGCATGAGAGAGGATGAGAGGAGTTGAGAGTGTATGAGAGTGGATGAGGAGGGTTGAGAGTGTGTAAGAGAGTGTATGAGAGTGTGTGAGAGTGTATGAGTGGGGATGAGAGGGGGTGAGAGGGGATGAGAGGCTATGAGAGGGGATGTGAGGGGATGAGAGGGGATGAGTGCTCATGAGACTGTATCAGAGTGTATGAGTGTGTATGGGAGTGTATATGAGGGGATGAGAGTGTATATGAGTGTATATGAGTGGGTACGAGAGGGTATGAGAGTGTATGAGAGGGAATGAGATGGGATGAGAGGGGATGAGAGGGGATGAGAGTGAATGAGAGTGTATGGAAGTGTATGAGAGTGGATGAGAGCGGATTAGGGGGTATGAGTGTGTATGAGAGAGGATGAGAGTGTTTAAGAGTGTATGATAGTGCATGAGAGAGGATG